GTTTCTCTTTTTCTCTCCTCTCTGCCCCTCTCCCTCCCCTCTCCTCTTCCCCTCTCTCTCCATCACACTAATCTCGACAGAAACAATGCCCCGCCAATCTCCGTCGCACACCCGAGCCGCAGAGCGAGAGAGATGTTTGCAGACATGTAGTGCTCCGGGTGGGGGCGGGGGCCCCGCCGGGGGTCGGCCACTCGATAAGGCCCGATAACCCCGGCCTCCTCCCCTCCCCCGTCGCCCTGCCCCGCGCCGCCCCGTCCGTCTAGCCTCTGGTGAAAGAGTTGCGGCTACACTGAATCCTAAATCTGTGGTGTCCAGCAGCTATGCCACTTAATTTGTACGACCGGTGTTCGACCCTAGAACCTGTGCATAACTTAAGTCGCACAGCTGCTGGACACCTTTGTGTCGACATATCATAAGAACAGGAAATGTCCACTATGAGAACACCTAGCGAGGGGTGGACCACTTAGGTATTCCATGTGCACACTTAAAAATACTCCAAAAATATTCTAGATATTCCAAAAATATTTAAAATATTCCCAAAGTATTCCAGATATTCTTAAAATTCCATGTACTTCAAAAAATTGAGTGGTGCTGGTGCACTGCCTTGAGCAACTGCCTTGAGTACTATACACACGACAAGGGTCCCACAGCAAGGTGGGCCATAGCGATTTGAGTCGAGGTTTTAAGGTCCGGCTCCAAACCGAAGATACTCGTACACGCGTAAATATAATCGTGCCTACCCCGTCCGTCATGCGCTTTCAGCAAACGCGGGCGCAGCCCAGGGCTACGGCCCGCTTCGCGCATCGCGTCAGCACTGCTTTCCGCTGGGCGCGTCTTGCCCAACATGTGGTCACAATGTGGTCACAAGGTGATTAGTAGGTGGTCACTATGAGGTCACTATGAGGTCACTATGTGGTCACTATGTGGTCACTATGTGGTCACTATGTGGTTACTATGTGGTCTCCCGCACAATACATTCAGTGCGGCAAGGCTCGGTCCGCTATCATACGACTGCTCCTTCAGCAACCCTCTCATGTAACCTTACCTTTCCTTTTGGCGTGTAAGACCTAGAATATTTGCATCCCTTCCGTAGGATTTTCTCGCGCAGAGAAGGAAAGAACAGTGATGCAAGTATCCTTAGTTTAAGCGCCCCCCCCCCCACACACACACATACACTTCTCTTTTCCCCCGATGACGAAGTGGTCTTCTCAGGTGTGTAGGTCAAAAACACAACACCATTCGAGAATCAACAGGAGGAAAAAGAATGCTGCATGCGCGAACGCTGCTCGCGGTGCGTGGGAGCGAAAAAGAATAAGGCAGGGGCACGGGCACAAGTCCGAGTGCTTCGCAGGGGACAGGGAGGGACAGTATAAGCGAGAGAAAGGGGAGAGGAAGGGAGAGGGCAAGTGAACGAGAGAGAAGGAGGGGGAAGATGCTGGGGTCCGTTATCAGGGGAGGGGGTCCCGTATAAAACGCCTCCTGGTGGACTGAATGCCATTCGCTTCGTGTTATTCAGAGTACCAGCAGCACTCTCGACCCGCCGCCAAAATGTCTGCCCTCCGCTTCATCCTTCTCTGCACCCTCTCAGTCTTCCTCTTCGCCCAGGTGAGTGTCCAGTGTGTGAGCAAAACGTCTTAAGACCTAGAAAACAGAGGAAAATATTCTTCAGCTGATACCTGTTACCTGGCGATATTCAATTCTTCCCTCAAGTAACCTTGCAAGAACAGTTTTTGTTTTTTACAACATCTTTTTTTCACGAAATTTGTCGAATATCCCTGACGTGTAACGGAAAGCTGCTTTGGATAGACGGATATCCCCCGCCCCCTGAAGGAAAAATGAAAAAATATTCCGTCGCCTTGGTGGCAGTGTTTTATCCTTGCTCTGCGAGCTCTTTTCTTCATGCCGTTGTTCGTTTTGCAGTTCGTCCTGTCCAGACCGGAGGAGGAGGGATCCCTGAAGAGCGTGGAGGCCAAGGTGTCCGTGGCCGTGGAGGACCTCAAGAAGAACGTGGGTGAACTGTTCAATGTAAGTTACAGAAACTGAGCTTTGCTTCTTATTGGACTTTTTTGTTTAGCTTTGTTTGGTATTAATCAAACGCCTTCCTTTTATTTTTCCCCGTGCAGAACCTTACCACTTTCATCCAGACCGAGATCTCCAAGAACCCCGAGGCCTCTGACATCTACAAGAACATTACGAGCAGCCTGTCCGCCGTTGCCCAGCAGATGAAGGACGCCGTTGCCTCCGTCACTCCCAAGCCCTGAGAGGTTCCTGTCGAGAACAAAACACGAAATGCCGACCCAAAATTTATTTAAATATCATTTCCTTTTGAAAATCTACATTTGACAATCTTCATTAAAAAAATAAATGTTTTAACCAACGTTGTATTTTGTATTAAATGTTATGCCAACATATGCCAAACAACCCTGATGACTCTCTGTACAGGGTGGTCCACAGACCCCTTTATTTTGCATGTTCTGCACCGCATGCAGCCTTGCAGTCGGGCTTGCCTACCATAGCTCGCGGTAGCGCCTTGTGGCCCCGTATGAGTGTGCAACCCGGCCGCACACCTGCACCTGCATCCGGTACAGTATAAGCAAAATAAAGGGAGAGGTCTGTGGACCACCCTGTATACCGGGTGCTTCTTTGAATGCGCTCCAGTGTTGCAATCGCGCAATACTGAAGCGTATCCAAACAAATACGCGTTACAGGGAGAAGTGTGAATTGTACAAATTTGTCTCAAGTGACGGATTGTTGTAAGCATCATTTTGCTGGATGCAAAC